CAGAGCATGTTGACAGGACTGATGTATTCCCGGCCAGAAGACCCCATCAGCTACCTTGAAGGATGCTTGACGAAGGTCCGGGCGATGGGTGGTCCAGAGAAGCTGCAGTGGGACACGTTCCTCAGTCAAGAAGATGTTCAATCTACCGCTGGGGGCTTAAACAAGAAGGCCCTCTTCCATTCAGGTGGATGACCGTTCCACAGGTGGTGGGTTTCAAGGTCTCTGTGTTAAGAGACCAGGCGTCCTTCCCTCTATATCTCCGGCTCCTGGATGGGTTCCTGGGAGCAGAACTATATCTCCACCAGGCGTCCTTCCCTCTGAGAGGCATGGGGTCTCCAGCTCCTGGATGGGGAAAAGAGGTCCTTTGGGATCCTATATCTCCACCAGGCGTCCTTCCCTCTGAGATGCATGGGATCTCCAGCTGGATGGGGAAGGAGATCCTTGGGTTCCTGGGAGCAGAACTATATCTCCACCAGGTGTCCTTCTCTTTGAGATGCATGGGGTCTCCAGCTGGATGGGGAAGGAGATCCTTGGGATCCTGAGAGTAGAACTATATCTCTACCAGGCGTCCTTCTCTTTGAGATGCATGGGATCTCCAGCTGGATGGGGAAAGAGGTCCTTTGGGATCCTATATCTCCACCAGGCGTCCTTCCCTCTGAGATGCACGGGATCTCCAGCTGGATGGGGAAGGAGATCCTTGGGTTCCTGGGAGCAGAATTATATCTCCACCAGGCGTCCTTCTTTTTGAGATGCATGGGGTCTCCAGCTGGATGGGGAAGGAGATCCTTGGGATCCTGAGAGCAGAACTATATCTCCACCAGGCGTCCTTCCCTCTTAGTTGCACGAGGTCTTCGACTCCTGGATGGGGAAAGAGATCCTTTGGGATCCTGGGAGAAGAACTATGTCTCCGCCAGGCATCCTTCCCTCTGAGAGGCATGGGATCTCTGGCTCCTGGTTGGGGAAAGAGAACCCTTGGGAATCCTGGGAAGAAAAGCTTCATGTTTATCAGAGAGTTTTGCTTGCACATCCCTTAATGCACTTAGTCCTGGACGTAGTCACAATTCTTTTGGTGACCCCTCAAAACTGGAAAAAAGGACTTGCGGCCGGTCCTTGCACAGCATCCCCCACCCTACAGGTAGTCCTCAATTTACAACAACTCGCTTAGGGACTGAAGTTACAGCGGCACTGGAAAAAGCGGCGTGTGACCATTATTCACACGTATGACCGTTGCCACGTCCCCGTGGTCACGTGACTGACATTCGGAGGCTGGGTGAGAGATTCATATTTATGACAGTGGCAGCATGTTGAGGTCACGCTTTGCAACCTGACAAGCAAAGTCAAGGGGGAAGTTGGATTCGTTTAACAACCGGGTTGCTAATTGAACAACTACAACTAAGGTTGTAAAATGGGGGCAAAATTCACTTAACCGTTTCCTTGCTTAGCAACGGAACTTCTGATCCCCATTGTGTCGTAAGTTGAGCACTGCCTTGTCCCATTGCCTTGCCTTGTCCTCTCCGATGAGTTTCCACTCCCCACATAGGCTGTGACTTCTTCCTTCTCGCTTGCAGCTTCCACCTCAGCCCCCTTCGGCTCCCACCAGGACGTATCCTGTGTGCAGAGCCAGTTCTCCATCGAGAGCGATTCCGACATGACCGAATCCACTGGGCTAATCCAGGAATACGACGTGTTTGACCCTGAACGGCCCCGTCCGAAGATCGTTTTTGTGATAGGTGAGAGGTTCGGTCAGAAGAAAGATCTGGGCGGGAAGCAGATCCCTGCAGGGTTGGACTAGAAGACCTTTGAGGTCTCTTCCAGTCTTAGGATCCTGTGAGGTGTCAGAGGCCCAACTCCCTAGAATATGTCTGTGTTTCTTGCAGGAGCATCAGAGCTTCATTTGGGAGTTGAGGGACACACCAGAGGGGGGAAAAGAGAAGGTCATAGAATCATAGAGGCAGAAGGGACCTTGGAGATGGGGAGGGAGGAGGAGGAGGAGGACTGTGGGGTGTTAGGCACTTGATGGTTTTCTTGCAGATGTTTCACTACCCTACTAGGTAACATCATCAGTGTTAAGAGGAAGTGAGGTTTGTGGAGATGAGGAGGAAATGGAGAAGGAGGCAAAGGAGAAAGAAGAAGGAGGAGAAGAAGGAGAAGGAGAAGGAGAAGATGGAGGGGAGGAGGAGGACAAGAGGGAGGAGGAAGAGATGGAGGAGGAGGAGGAGATGGAGACGGAGAAGAAAGAGAAGGAGAAGATGGAGGGAAGAGGACAAGAGGGAGGAGGAGAAGATGGAAGAGGAGGAGAAGAAGGAGAAGGAGGAGAAGGAGAAGAAAGAGAAGATGGAGGGGAGGAGGAGGAGAAGATGGAGGAGGAGGAGGAGAAGATGGAGACAGAGGAGAAGGAGAAGATGGAGGGGAAAGGGAGGAGAAGAAGGAGAAGATAAATCATAGAATCAGAAGGCTGGAAGAGACCTTAGAGATCTTCTAGTCCTTCGTGATCAATTAGAACAGGATCTGGAGAAGGATAGCTTACTTATCCTCTCTCTATATATACAGCCCTAGAAAGAATCTCCTTTCTCAACCTACAAATTTTTGGTGGGGGTGAAAAATTCCCCCAGTCTCTTTTTTTGCAGCTAAGATTGAAAAATTGCAGGATTATTAAGAGGGATGGTTCTAATCCCTTCTGGTCTTCGGCTGCCTTATCTAGACTGGCCTCTTTGATTAAATTTGGTCCCGATGCTCAGATGCCCCTTCGATCCTGCTTCCTGCCAAAATGACCCCCCACATTTCTCCCTCGCAGGGGGTCCTGGGAGCGGGAAGGGGACGCAAAGCCGGAGGATGGCTGCTCACTTTGGCTTCGTCGGCGTCTCCGTCGGAGAAATTCTGCGCGCTCAGACGCTCCGTCGTGTCGCCAGCGACAAGAAGTGGGAGCTCATTGCCAAGATTATTGCCGACGGAGAGTTAGCCCCGTCGGTGAGCGAGATGCGCCTTGAAACTGCCGTTAGCCCCCTCACACACACACACACACACACACACACACACAGCCCTCACCTTATGGGCACAACTGAGCTCAACATTCCCCTTGCTAAGCAGGACACTTATTAAGTGAAGTTTGCCCCATGATACGACTGTTGACCATTGTAGACCGTTGGGTCTACAAGACACCTCACTGCCACCCCTCTCTCTTGAGATATCTCTTGTGCTTTTCAGGAGACGACCGTTGAAGAGCTGAAGCAGCAGTTCATCAAGCACCCAGAGGCCAAAGGTTTTGTGGTGGATGGGTTCCCGCGAGACATTGGCCAGGCCTTCCTGTTTGAGGAGCAGGTGAGATGACGCTGCCAACATTCGTCCCTGAGAGATGGTAGGTTGGTGTCCTTCTTGAGTTCTCCTCTCCACCTGACCTTCCAGAAACTTTTCCCTACATCTTTCACCTGATGGTAGAGAGGCCAACAGGTGAGGCTGGCTTTTTCAGGGAAGAAGTAAATGTAGAGGGGGAAAAGTCCAGAGAAGAGCAAGTAAGATGATCCAAGGTCTGGAGACTAAAACATATGAAGAATGGCTGCAAGATTTGGGTTTGGCTAGTGTAGAGACAAGAAGGAATAGGGGGGACCTGATAGCAGTATTCCAGCATTTGAGGGGCTGCCACAAAGAAGAAGAGGGGGGTCAACTTATTCTCCAAAGCACCTGAAGGCAAGACAAGAAACAATGGTTGGAAACTGATCAAAGAGAGAAGCAAACCTGGAACTAAGGAGAAACTTCCTAACTGTGAGGACAATTAACCAGTGGAACAGCTTTCCACCAGAAGTTGTGGGCGCTCCATCACTGGAGGCTTTGAAGAAGAGGCTAGACAGTCACTTATTTGAAATGGTATAGGTTCACCTGCTTGAGCAGGGGGCTGGACTACTAGAAGACCTCCAAGGTCCCTTCCAGCTCTATTCTATTCTGAAAAAAGAATGAAGGACCGAAAGCAAGCAAGCTGGGATGAGACCAATCCAAGGTTGGCTTCTCACAATCCTATCCTCCATCCTTTGCCTTTCTTAGGTTGGTTCTCCAGATGTTGTGGTCTTCCTGGCATGCTCGAGTCAACAGCTCCGGCAGCGACTAAAAGGAAGGGCTCAGGACCAAGGACGCTTGGATGATAACCCTCACGCCATTGAGCGCAGGCTGGAGACCTTCAAGCAGAATGCTCAGCTGATTGGGAAGTACTACCAGGAGAAGGGCATCTTGGTCCGGGTGAGGATCGCGAGGGCGGGAATCCCAGAAGATGTCTAGGCTTGCTTTTCAGTGCCTTGCTCAGTGACCCATCTCCTGAGAACCTCAGTTGCTTAGGGCATGGGCCAGAAGCTCTGCATGAAGCTGGTTTCCTGGGTGACCTAAGCAAAAGACGTCATGCTTGCTAGGTTACTAGAGAAGAATGTTCCTTCAGCTGGACAAACAAGACTCCTAGCTTGATGTTAGAGTCATCCATCATCACCCTGAAGAGGATGGACAATATTTTGCCAGTTTTCTTTGTCCCACACTGTCCCAAAGGTTCTTGGTTGACTTCCGAAGAGACGTGTGTGCCAATGTCTTTGAAGATTCTCAGCTGTCCAGGTCCAACGGTTGTTCCAAAGGTGCTTTTTCAAAAAGGCAACTGGACTTTCTTGGTTTTTCCTTGAACACGTTTCGTTTCTCATTCCAGAAGCTTCTTCAGCTGTGACAAGTCCAGTTGCCTTTTGAAAAAGCACTTTTGGGACAACTGTTGGACCTGGATGACTGAGAATCTCCATAGACTTTATCACACACGTCTCTTTGGCGGTCAACCATACCACTCAAAGCCCTTTTGGTATCTCAAGAACTGTGGTTGTTGCCTTATAGAACCAATTTGGGTCCAGTTCAAAGTGACATCTGCTTTTAAGCCTGATTTTTTCATATTACTGAGGAACTTGATGATGTTGGAATTTCATAACAATATTTCTTTGCGGTTATCACCCTCGGGAGAAGCAATACAGAGATACGTCTACGAATGTCCACTTGTTATCTTCTCCATCCCTTCTCTGAAGGGATGTTAGACACTTGAAACTGAAGTCCAAAAGTAAAGACTTTTTGCACACATAGTAGGGAGAAGAACAGAGCAGAGGATTGGACCAAGACTGAGACCGTATTTCTTCTCCTTTCCAGTTCGATGCGGACGGAGAAGAAGATGAAATATTTGCTGCCATCAGTTCCTGCATTCAGCAATGGCTGCAGCTAGAGAGAAAAAGAATTCTGGGTGAGAAAGAATCTGCTTGTATTAAGGGACCAAAGCAACGCTCCCACGCCACCCTACTCCAGCTCAGAAAAATGTAGGAGGAGGAGGGAAGACTTTAGATCGCTCTAGCTACAGAGAACATCTTGATCGCCTTCAGAGATGTTTCCTGGAGTGACCCAAAGCTATAGAAGCTGCTGGAGTTAAAAGCAGGGACCAGAGTCCTCTGTTGAGGGTGGAGTCCATCTTCTAGAGCAGGGTTGTCCACACTTGGCAACTTTTAAGACTTGTGGACTTCAATTCCCAGAATTCCTCAGCCAGCAGGAGAGTTGAAGTCCACAAGTCTCAAAATTGCCAAGTTTGGAGATTCCTGTTCCAGGGAACCTCGAGAAGGATGAGTCTCATTTGAACCTCAAGATGTGTTCATAGCTCGTGTTCAACCAGAAGTTTGGAGATTCTTGTTCTAGGGAACCTAGAGAAGGATGAGTCTCATTTGAACTTCAGAATGGGTTCATAGCTTGTGTTCAACCAGAAGTTTGGAGATTCCTGTTCTAGGGAACCTAGAGAAGGATGAGTCTCGTTTGTACCTCAAAATGGTTTCATAGCTCGGGTTCAACCAGAAATACAAGCAACGGTTGTGTCAACCCTTTGAGGTTGGGAACTAGGGAGATCTTCGCCATCTCCCCCACCTTCTGTGGGCTAAGACCTCCTTTGTATGATCTTTGGCTGGATTGAGGCCGTTCCTTCTGTTCCCCAAGATTATTCTCAAGGCCTATTAGGAGTTCACAGCTTAGCAAGGGTCTCCACCACCAACTTCTGCTCAACTTCCTCCCATTGCAAAATTCCTGTTTTCCTGACCCACCTCTGGAATCCTTTTGGGGCTAGAATAAGAGGGTTGAGGGCTGTTGGCACACACATTTTAAGCCTCCCTTTAACTTTTGACTGTTCTTGCAATCCTGGTTTTTTTTCCCCACCAGAAGTGTGTTGTTTTTTTCTCATAAATCTTCCAGATATATAATTATCTTGTTTTCTTTGGCTTTGGTTTGTGTGTGTGTGTCTCTAGATTTGCCACTGCAGAGTTTCTTCAGCCCGTGCCAGGACTCTCCAAAGGAAGAGCAGAGAAAAGAGCAGGTGAGGTCACACCCTCTTGATACAGTCCAGACCTGATTCTTGGCCTGGCTTCCGAGTTGTTGTTTTCCTGAACCTGGGTCGAATCTGAAGCCCGCTTGGCTTTCATCAGAACAGGAGCTGAAACCGACTGGGTGGGAGTTCCTGGTGGGAGAAGGCTGGGGACAGCAGCCAGGGGTCAATGACCGACGTTGATGGATGGCAGGCAATTAACCTGCCTGTTAAGCAAACAAAAATGGAAAGAAAACACAGGACAGGGCCAAGAGGCAGAAGAATTGAGCTGCTGGTGGACAGGGTCAGAGCTACTGGTGGGTTCAGCCAGGGCCCAAAGTGGAGAGGACATCTCCTTGGCCAGCCTCTCCATTTTTTTCTTCTTTCTCTCTCTCTCTCTCTCTTCCTCCTCTCTCCTTCCTTCTATCTCTCTCCTTCCTTCTCTCTTTCTCTCTCTCTCCCTCCTTCTGTCTCTCTCCTTTCTTCTCTCTCCTCCTCCTCTCTTTCACTCTCTCCCTCCTTCACTCCCTCTCCCTCCTTCTCTCTCTCCCCTGCTCTCTGTCTCTTTTCCTCTCCCTCCTTCTCTCTCTCTCCCTCCTTCTCTGGTTCTCTCTCTGTGTCTCTCTCCGTCCTTCTCTCCCTCTTTCCTTCTCCCTCCTTCTGTCTCTCTCTCTCTCCTTCTCTCCCTCCCTCCCTCCTTCTCCCTTTCTCTCCCCCTTCTGTCTCTCCCCCTCCTTCTCTCTCTCTCTCTCCCTCCCTCCTTCTCTCTCCTTCCTTCTCTCTCCTTCTCTCTCTCTTTCCCTCCTTCTGTCTCTCTCCTTTCTTCTCTCTCTCTCTCCCTCCTTCTCTCTCCTTCTCTCTCTTTCCCTCCTTCTGTCTCTCTCCTTTCTTCTCTCTCTCTCTCCCTCCTTCACTCTCTCTCCCCTCCTCTCTGTCTCTT